TTGCATCAGGCAGTCAAAGTATTATAGCTTCACCATCAGTTCTTCCTGTGAATATTCAGGACTGATTTCCTTTAGGATTGACTGGTTTGATCTCTTCGAAGTCCAAGGGACTCTCAGGAGTCTTCTCCAAACCACAGTCAAAAACATCAGTTCTTCAGCACTCAGCCTTCTTTATGGTCCAACTCTCATACCGTCCATGACTATTGGAAAAACCATAGCATTGACTATACAGACCTTTGTCAGCGAAGTAATGTCTCTGCTTTTTAATATGTTGTCTAGGTTAGTCATAGCTTTTCTTCCAGGGAGCAAGCGTCTTTTAATTCCATGTCTGCAGTCACCATCTGCAGTGATTTTGGAGCCCAGGAAAATAAAGGCTCTCTCTGCATTGTTTCCTTATCTACTTGCCGTGAAGTGATGGGACCGGATGCCATGTTCTTAGTTTTTTGAATGTTGAATTTAAGCCAGCTTTTTCACTGTCTGCTTTCACCTTCCATCAAGAGGCTCTTTGGTTCTTTTTCCCTTTCTGCCATAAGGGTGGTGTCATCTGCATATCCAAAGTTACTGATATTCCTCCCAGCAATCTTGATTGCAATTTGTGCTTCATCTAGCCAGATATTTCACATGATGTACTCTGTATATAAGTTAAGTAAGCAGGGTGACAATATACAGCCTTGATGTACTCCCTTCCCAATTTGGAACCAGTCTGTTGTTTCATGTCCAGTTCTGACTGTTGCTTCTTGACCCGCATACAGGTTTCCCAGGAGCCAGGTCAGGTAGTCTAATATTCCCATCTCTTTCAGAATTTTCCATGGTTTGTTGTAATCCACACAGTCAAAGGCTTTAGCATAGTCAATAAAGCAGAAGTAGATATTTTTATGGAATTCTCTTGTTTTTTCTATAGTCCAACAGATGTTGGCCATTTGATCTCTGGTTCGTCTGCCTTTTGTATATCCAGCTTATACATCTGGAGGTTCTTGGTTCACGTACTGTTGAAACCTGGCTTGGAGAATTTTGAGCATTACTTTACTAGCGTGTGAGATGAGTGCAACTGTGTGGTGGTTTGAACATTCTTTGGCATTGCCTTTCTTTGGGATTGGAATGAAAACTGACCTTTTCCAGTCCTGTGGCCACTGCTGAGTTTTCCAAATTTGTATGCATATTGAGTACAACACTTTCACAGCATCATCTTTTAAGATTTGAAATAGCTCAACTGGAATTCCATCACCTCCACTAGCTTTGTTTGTAATGATGCTTCCTAAGGCCCACTTGACTTTGTACTCCAAGATGTCTGGCTCTAGGTGAGTGATTGTGCTTATTAAGCACACCATTGTGCTTATCTGGGTCATTAAGATCTTTTTTGTATCGTTCTTCTGTGTATTCTTGCCATCTCTTTTTAATCTCTTCTGCTTCTGTTAGGTCCATACCATTTCTGTCCTTTATTGGGCCCATCTTTGCATGAAATGTTCCCTTGATATCTCTAATTTTCTTGAAGAGATCTCTAGTCTTTCCCATTCTATTGTTTTCCTCTATTTCTTTGCATTGATCACTGAGGAAGGCTTTCTTATCTCTCCTTGCTATTTTTTGGAACTCTGCATTTGAATGGGTATACCTTTCCTTTTCTCCTTTGCCTTTTGCTTCTCTTCTCTCAGCTATTTGTAAGGCCTCCTCAACCATTTTGCCTTTTTGCATTTGCTTTTCTTGGGGATGGTTTTGATCATCATCTCCTGTACAGTGTTATAAACTTCTGTCCATAGTTCTTCTGGCACTCTGTCAGATGTAATCCCTTGAATCTATTTGTCACTTCCATTGTATAATCATAAGGGATTTGATTTAGGTCATACCTGAATGGCCTCGTGGTTTTTCCCTGTGTTCTTCAATTTAAGTCTGAACTTGGCAATAAGGAGTTCATGATCTGAGCCGCAGTCAGCTCCCGGTCTTGTTTTTGCTGACTGTGTAGAACGTCTCCATCTTCGGCTGCAAGAAATGTAATCAATCGGATTTCAGTATTGACAGACTGGTGATGCCCATGTGTTAGAGTCATCTGTTGTGTTGCTGGAACAGGATGACCTAAAATTGGTTTATGTGAAAAGTTCAATACATTTTATCTTTTAGTAGTGCAGTGGTATAAACTCAAACAAGTCTCCTAATTTTTGAATTTGTTGTTGTTTTTCAGTCATTAAGTCATGTCTGAATCTTTTTGACCCCATGGACTGCAGCTTCCCTGTCCTTCACTACCTCCTGATGTTTGCTGAAATTCATGTCCATTTGGTCAGTGATGCTGTCTAACCATCTCATCCTCTGCTGCTCCCTTCTTTTCCTTTTGCCTTCAGCCTTTCCCAGCATCAGGGTCTTTTCCAGTGACTCAGATCTTCGCACCATGTGGTCAAAGTATTGGAACTTTAGCTTCAGCATTTTTCTTTCCAATGAATAGTCAGGGTTGATTTCCTTTAGGATTGCTGATCTCTTTGCATTCCAAGGGACTCTCTTTAGTCTTTTCCAGCACCACACTTCAAAAGCATCAATTTGGTGCTCAGCCTTCTTTCTGGTCCAACTCTCAACATCCATATGTGACTACTGGAAAAACCATAGCTTTGACTATACAGACCTTTGTCGGCAAAGTGATGTCTCTGCTTTAATATGCTGTCTAGGTTTGTCATAGCTTTCCTTCCAAGGAGCAAGGGTTAGATGCTGAATTATGGTCTTGTTAGCTGTCTTGTAATTCATCCCCCCCTCTTTTTTTTTTTTTTACTGCTGTATTTTGGCTCCTTGGAAAGATATTTATTTTAATTGATGATTTAAAGAATTTTAAAAAGACTTCTAGAGCAATTTGAGAGGAAGCCAAATTAAGAAGAAGGTACAAAGATTTTTCTATTTTCTGCCCCCCACACATGCACAGCCTCCTTTATCTACATCCCCCATCACAGCAGCACATTCATTACAACTGATGTACCTACAGTTAACTCTGTTCACTCTTGGTAGTGTACAAATGTAGCCATCATTATAGCATCATACAGAGTGTTTTCATTGCCCTAAAAATCCTTTGTCCTCTACCTATTCATTCTTCCCTGCTCCAAAACCTGGCAACTCCTGAGGTTCCTTCATGTCTTTTCATACCTTGATAGCACATTTTTTTTTTAAGTGCTGAATAATATTTCACCGTCTGGATGTACCACAGTATTTCAGGTCACCTACTAAAGAACACCTCAGTTGCTTCCTAGTTGGGCAGATATGAGTAAAGCTGCTATAGACATCTGTGTGCAGGTCTTTATGTGGACTTAAGTCTTCAGCTCCACTGCATAAATACCATGGAATGCAATTGCTGTATCACATGATAAGAGTATGTTTAGTTTTGCAGGTGCAAGCCATGCCTGCCATCTCTAGGGAACTACAAAATGGAGGGCCCTGTTCCTGGAGCCTAGTGGGGATCAAGAAGCCCACAGGCAGGGCATTGTGGTGGCTCTGTTCTTTGCTGGATCTGCTAAGTACTTCCACTTAACTCTGGCTCCCCTTGAGATAAGAGGAAACAGCATCAGGTCCTCTTGCTTGTTTGAAGTATCTTAGGAGGTAAATCTATTGCAATCACTCTTCTAGACATTGTGTTATGTAACATGACTGTGTTAGCAGAGGCTATGAGGGAAGGGTAATGACTTTTAGAAGGGAATTAAATTAGGAACCAGTCCTAGATAATGACAGGTCAAAAACATAACCAGGATGCCAAAGAAATGGTCAGCTGAGTTTCTCTGTTTTTATTATTTATAATTGTATTTAGGTATAGCTCTGCTGGGTCTTCATTGCGGCACCTGCTTTTCTCTAGTTGCGGAAAGTGGGGGCTTCTCCTGTTGCAGATTGTGGGCTCTCGGGCTTCAGCAGCTGAGGCATGTGGGCTCAGTAGTTGTGGCACATGGACCTAGTTGCTGCGTGGCATGTGGGATCCTCCAGATCAGGGACTGATCCCATGTCTCCTGCATTGGCAGGTGGATTCTTTACCACTGAGCCACCAGGGGAGTCCCCAAATGAGTTTCTTAAACAGATTAACACTTGCTCTAATTGTCCTGACTCTTTCAGAAAAACCAGTCAGTAGTCTTTCACCTGTTGTGACATGTACTGTCTTGGTTTAAGGAAGGGAGCACATCTTTAATAGACACTGCTTCTCAGATTTCTTGTGCGTCTTAGGAAAGCTGCTTTCTGAGCAGGAAGGAAATAGCCAGACAGTGACCTGGAGACTTTGTGTCTCTCACCCACCGGCCCCATGTGGTGTGGATAGCCCTGTCATGAGGGCTGTCTGCTGGTGGACTGCACAGTTCCTGGTGGTGAGAACATTCCCTTTCCCATTCTGGTCAGCTCCTGCAGATCCTCATCCATTTCAATGGCTGCACAGTGCCCATAATTTATTACTCTGTTCGGGACATTTTGGTTGCTCCCCCTTCGCTATTATAGATGAGGTTAAAGTGGACTCCTCATTCTGGGGTTCCTAGTACCCAGGGTCAAGTTTTGTCTTTGAGGGAAAACAGTTCTGGCAGATCTTCCAAATCCAGCTCCATGAGGCTTTTGCCTGCCTTCCAGACCCTTCTCACGTTCCAGAGCTATCCTGATGTCTTGGTCGTTTGTCTGAATACCATTGGCATCTCCTGGAGTGAGGGGCAAGGCACTGGGAATAGTGAACCTTTTTTTCTAATTTAGACTTTGGAATATAAAATCAGTGAATTTGTTTAAGGGAAAGAGAAGTTATCAAGGATTCTGAAAGATGGGCATCTCTGCCTCTCTCTTCTAAACCTGGAATAAAGATGGTTATTCTTGGAGGTGATTTCAGGTCGAGTTTCTGAGAGAAGAGTTGATCCCATGGCTAATCTCGTGTCTTGAGTGAAATGATATGTGTAAAGCTTTTGGCACTGTAGCTGGCACACAGTTAGCCCTTGATGAATGACAGATACCAACTTAAAATTGTCCCCTTCTAGTGGGAAGCCTCCTCCCTCATTCAGCTGTTTTTGTTTGTTCCTCAGAGAATCACATTTTGGAAGACGTGAACAAATGTGTCATTGCTCTCCAAGAGAAAGATGTGGATGGGCTGGACCGCACAGCTGGTGCAATTCGAGGCCGGGCTGCCCGGGTCATTCATGTCGTCACCTCAGAGATGGACAACTATGAACCAGGGGTCTATACAGAGAAGGTGCTGGAAGCAACCAAGCTGCTCTCCAACACAGGTGTGGGGCTCCCTCCCTTACCTGTGCTCCTCACACACAGATGGCGCTGTGGTTAGGAAGTAGGACACTGGGACTCAGTTTGGTTTTAGGATGAGTTCTGGAAGGTACGTCAGATTTATGAGTCATTGGTCAGCCACAGTAAGACCATACAATCATGTTTCCCTTACTAGTGTCCCACAGGTAGTAATGGGAGTCACTCTGAACTCAGTATTTTAAGATGAACTTCCGAGTTATATCTCTAGTTAGTGAACACACTAAATTAAGGAGGTTCCCGTTCTAGCAAGGCCTCTAGTTAATCCCAATTCAAATTCTCAGCCATCTAAATCCTGTGATGCAGAATCTAGCCAGAGACAAAGAAGTAGATTCAAGTCTTTGTAAAATATGGCATTCAATTTATTTGAACCATAAATACCTCTCACATAGGTAGAAGCAGAGGCTCTTCATCATACACTCTGCCTCTCTCCATCTGAGGGATTTAGGAGGTCTGGTGGTGATGTTATCGGCTCTCTTCTCCACAGTCATGCCACGTTTTACTGAGCAAGTGGAAGCGGCTGTGGAAGCCCTCAGTTCAGACCCCGCCCAGCCCATGGATGAGAACGAGTTTATCGATGCCTCCCGCCTGGTGTACGATGGCATCCGGGACATCAGGAAAGCAGTGTTGATGATAAGGGTGAGTAACTGCATTTCAGATGTTTTAACAGCTTTCTTCTTATCATTTGCTAAACTTGAGCAATGCATCATTCTGGAACTCAACAGATGTGTTGGCAGTATATTAAAACCATGAATCTAAGAGCTTTTAGAAGGAGATATGTTTAATTACGTTGTCTAAAATGACTTTTAGTTGCAAGTTAGAGCCCAAACTTGGGCTGAGAAAAGGGGTCATAGTATGAGTTGAGGCTTCCTCTTGAGTTAAAGGGCAGTGACAGAAAATAAAGGTTCGTCAGTGAATTTCAGAGAAGGGAGTATTTCCTTTATGCAGGTGGAAGCTGTTCTTTACATGGAGCACTCCTCGCCTCAGAGGGGTGGCAGGCAGGCGGGGTCTAGAGCCCCAGGGCGTCGAGGGTGAGGATGAGGGGCATGCAGCCCTTGGTGCTGCTCCTGATCTCGGGGCCAAGTGTCGGGCCCTCTCACCGTGGCTGAGGGGAAGTGCCACCTGCTCTGGGCCCCATTTGACCTGTCCTCTGAGCCAGCAGCAGTTCTCACCATCTGAGACAGTGTCTGGGATCCCCGGGGGTGGGCATGAGCAATGGGGTTTTGAGAAACCACCACCTCTTCTGTGATCATCCCATGTGCTAGGCTGGGACTCACATAGCAGTTGATCCGTCACACACTGTTCTGAGCATGAATGTGTTGCTCTGGAAGCTGAGAGCAGGACCTGTGCCAAGCTCTCCTGGGGTCACCTGGATGCCCCCAGGCTCAGACCAGCCCTGCCGTAGCCACAGAGCCAGCATTTGGAACGCAGGCTTGCTGAGTAGACGGCTACTGGGCTCTGCTGACAATCTAGTCATGTTGGGGAGTTTCCGTTACACCTTCATGGTTTGCTAGTCAGACCTCCCAAGGTGGGCAGGGTTCTGTCCCACTTTTTACCCCCTCAGCTGGAAACAGAGGCTATTCCTAAGGTAGTTGCATCAGGCTGGATGCATTCTGTATGCAACGTAGAAACACCTGGGCATTACTGCACTCCTCTCAGGTTAAGGAGCAGAGAGAATGGCTCAAGGATTGTACGGCTGGCTGTTCTGCAGGCCCGGGGTCACCTGCACGTACTGGGGGTTGGGAGGGGATCTGGGGGAGTCTGTTGCTTTCTTCACCCCTGCTGCTGTGCTGGAGAGCAGCCCATGCTCAGGGAGGCCTGGCCTCCAGAGGTGCAAAGGAATCCCTGGGTCAAGCGCACCAGTGGTGGCAAAATGCAGCCCTGTTTTTCCAAAGTTCTTTGCATGCTGACAGAGAATAGAAGAAACATTAATAATCATGAGTTGTTGAGTGTCTGAGGTTAATGCCTTTGGGGTTTTAAATGAGCTGGCACTGCACACACCCCAGGATGCCTGCAAATACAGGGCCTGTTCTGTGGAAGCAGGGTTCTTCCTCACATCTGAGTGTCTCAGCAAGTTCCCTTGTCTCTTTGAGATGCAGATGATGGTGTTGATAGCTTTGATGGGATGAATTGGAGATAACATGTTCAGGTCAAGGCCTGGCCCGTAGTAGCTGTTTCTTTCGTGCTTACTGCTGTGTTGGAGCGTAAGTACGACAGAGGCCCTGGCAGGTGTGGTGAGATGGAACCTGGGTGTGGTCACCTGGGAGGGCTCAGAGAGGGAGAACAGGTAGAGCTCAGCAGCCTTGGTTTATCCTCCTTTTTGCCCTGATTTAATTCAGGAGCCATCCTTCCAGCCCCAGGGCCTCTTGGTTTCTTGATGTCTTGTCCTCCCCTGCACTCAGCCTCTGGCTTACTCTTGCTTGTTCCTTGTCATAACCAGCATCTCCATCAGCCCTTCGGTCAGCTGCTCCCTTTAGTTCTGTGACTCCCAACAGTGCTTTGAGTCTATCAGGATCTTCAGCCGGTTGGTCCTCCCCACTTGCAACCCTCACTCCTATTCCAGCTTCTGTTTCATCAGTAGAATCTCTTTTGTACCCTTTTACTCCCCTTATTTGCCTTTCAAAATACAACCCTAGTGAAATCCTGTCTCCTGCTGAACATGGTGCATAGAAGTAGAGTCATCTGACTGCAGGATGGGGTCCTGGGTCACTATTGGTGCTACACAGCCAGAGAGTCTGGGAACAGTTCATACCTTCCTGCTTGCCTCACCTTTCCCCACCTGTGCCCCATCCTACCTGTCTGGCCCTGGTAACTGTTTCACTGAGGATCCTAAAAAAGTGAAAGCGAAGTCACTCAGTCATGTCCAACTCTGCGACCCTATGGACTGTAGCCCGCCAGGCTCCTCCTCCATCCATGGGATTTTCCAGGCAAGAATACTGGAGTGGATTGCTATTTTCTTCTCCAGGGGATCTCCCCGACCCAGGGATTGAACCCGGGTCTCCCACATTTCAGGCAGACGCTTCACCCTCTGAGTCACCAGGGATCCATCGTTCCTGAGGATCCTGAGGTGGTTTGATCATCTGCTCCTGGCTGAGCCTGTTCCCTGCACTGGGTCTCGTTCCCTATTCCTCCAGCACTTTTCCCCTAGCAGACAAATATGCCTTAATTTCTTGCATCATAAGAAAATCCCCTCCTCCTTAGTCTTGCTGGTTTCTCCTCATCCTTAATCTTCGCAGCCCCTGACCACGGGTACACCCTGTAGCACTTTTCTGACTGTACTCATTCGCTTGGAGCATGAAAATGAGAGGCTGACTCCTGTGGCCCACTCTTCTAGCCACCCTGCCTGCTGCCTCTCACTTTACTGCCTCAAGCTTGTCATCCCCAAAGTGAGCTCTGCTTTGCTCCACCCTGTTCTCTCATCAGTGGGTGGCATGTCTGTCTTCCACTTGCTTAGGCCCAAACTTTAGATTCATCTTTGATTCCACTTTTTCCCTCATACGCTGAATCTGATTTATCAGCAGATCCTGTTGGATCTGCCTTCACAATAAATAGGTATTCCGAACATGGCTCCTACCCTGGTCTAGGCCACCAGCATCTCTCACCTGGCTTCACACAGCTGCTTCTGTCTCACTGTTCACACCCTTGGGTGCCTGCAGTCTTGTGTCTATGAGCGCGGGGATGTCTGTCTCTGTCATTCTGTACCTTAAAGGCCCAGAACCGCTTGCTTGGCACACAGATATTCAACAGATGAATGAACGACTGGGAGATAATTTGGTTTTCCTGGTAAGAAACAGTTCTTGGGTCTGTGATGGGCTATGGAGGAAGGTGGGGAAGTAGAGATCCTGGTTTTTTTGTTGTTGTTTTGAGATCCTGTTAAGAGGCACCCCTCACTAATAAGGCTCAAGTGTCTGTCACCCCAGAATCACAATGGCCAACAGCAGCTGGACTCCAGGTGTTGCACTGACGTGTGACTCACTAGTGCCTCAAGTGACCCCCACAGTCCTCACCTCTACACACAGGAACAGGCCCATTCTTCACACATGTACAAACCCAACATACTCTGGGCAGTCAGGATGCTTCCTCACAGGAAGCCCTCAGGCTGGGGTTGGATTAGGTCCTGGTGCAGATGAGGGACTCGCCTCACTGCCCTCTTGTCACAGGCCGGCCGGCCGGGCCAAGAGCCAACCCCAGCTGTTCTGCCTGCTGCCCTGTTGCTGATAATTTCCAGAAGATTACATTATGTTTCAAGTCAGCAGCTAATCACGAGAGGCTGGAGGGTGTACAAAATAATAATTTTTATTTCATAATTAAAGCAAAAAAGTAATCATTTCCTTTGGTATTTACTCAGACTTTATCTGCCATGTTCTCTTTTCCTTGAATAAAAAGTATATAAAAATACATTGTCTTTTTTTTACTCCTCAGATCAACTTTTGCTAACCTAAGAGAAATCCCAGTATTCAGTTTTTTTCCATAAAAATATGGCAAAGTTGTAAGAATTTGTTTAATGTATGAAACTGCTATTTTTACTAAAGTATGTTTTCCACCCAGAACAACTCTCACATTTGTCTTAAGATGCAGGTGTTGGAGAAGTACATGAAATGAAAACCTTTTGTTAAGCAGAGCCTTTACTCTCTGGTAGAAACTGAACCCCCCCCCCCCCAAGTCCTTTGGGAATGCTGGTGTGGTGCCTTTGCTTGCTGTTTGTTGAACGGACTGCTTGAAACATGCATCAGTGAAGCAGGGTTCAAATATTGAGCAATTTTAACTTCATTGCTCACGGCTGTTTGGAATACTGCAGAAAATTCTGGATGTCTTTACATGAGACCCAGGGGCTCGGGGCTGCTGGCAGCCCAGGGTTGTGTTTGATTTGTCATTTCTGTCTTGGTGGCAGACCCCTGAGGAGCTGGATGACTCTGACTTTGAGACTGAAGACTTCGATGTCAGAAGCAGGACAAGCGTCCAGACAGAAGACGACCAGCTGATAGCTGGCCAGAGTGCCCGGGTAAGGACCAGGTTTAACTTGTCCTGCAGACTTCCCTGTCTCTCTTCTGTCCTTAACTTTTTCCTTTCCAGATAAACTCTCTCATTATTGAGAACACCATTTTTCCTCTCATTTTCTCTGGCAGTGGAACCTTATCCTAAGTTGTGGCACCTGCTAGTCCATTGTAGGCTCATCCAGAATGTCTCCTCAGCTACAGCAGGGCAGGAACATGGGCCCCTCAGCTGTACCCTGAGGCTTTGGTTTATGAAGAGTCCTGAGTCAGGAAAGTGCTATGCTCCAGTCAATGCAATGTTTGTTAATAGGACAGTGAAACTCAAAAAAGATTGCTGTCTTTGCCTATCTCAATGATACCATGGGCATGAACTATTTAATTATTCATGGGGAAGAAAATAACAGTGGTACATTCAAGAAAATCAGAGCCATTGCATTCATTTGAGTCGTTAAATCTTCAATCAATTGCATTTATGTTTTTGGGAGGATGCCAAGAAATATTACTAAGGAGTCTTTTTTCACCCCTTAGAAGTTGTTTTGAACAGCGGGTTCATCTCTGCTTTAAGCCCCCACTGGGTCCTATCTCTTGGGGAGCTGAGTCGAGAGGAGCCCTGTGCCTGAGAGTCTGGGGCTTGAGGTAGGCAGCGGGCCTCCAGGCGCCGCAGGCTCGGGTGTGAGTGCCGTCTCCGGCGCCTGAGAAGTATGCTCTGCAGTAGGTTCTCTTCTGCCTCTTTCTGGGTCATCTTCGAAAGCTGGAGGTGTATATACGGTACCACCAGGGAAAGGCCTGCATGCATTAGCCCTTCCCTCATCCCCATGGCAGGAGGCGGGGGATATTTTTTTTAAGGTTAAAGGAAGTTTATTTTTCTTCAAAATAATTTTATTGGAGTATAGTTAATTTACAATGTTATGTTAATTTCAAGTGTACAGTAAAGTGATTCAGTTACACATATATCTGTTCTTTTTTAGATTCTTTCATAGGTTATCACAGAATATTGAGTAGAATTCGCTGTGCTATACAGTAGGTCCTTGGTTACCTTATGTGTATAAAATACTGTACGTTCATTCCAGGCTCCTGATTTACCCACACCCCCATCATGTTTCCCCTTTGGTAATCAACCCTAAGTTTGTTTTCAAGTCTGTTTTGTAAATAAGTTCATTTGTATCTTTTTAAAAAAATCAGATTCCACCTGTCTAATGTGGTATTTGTCTTTCTGACTTCAGATGATGAAACTTTTAAAGAATTAAGTTAAGCAGGTTTTGTCCCTGTGCAGGTTTGATCACAAAACTTGTACATTAGCCTTCAGCCCCTCACACCCCATTTTTCTCTTTACCAAAACTTACTCTTGAAAGTGGGTCAGGAAGCTATAAACTTTTGCGCAAAATAAGAATAAGTGGCTCTTCAGGCAAAATGAAACCTATTAAAGCATCATCGTACCTATGTCATAGATTGCTTGGTGGAAATATTCTTAGTTAATGCACTGTGAGAACTTCATATTCTCTTTATGTAAGAGCTTTCTATGCTTCTGATTTCAGGCGATCATGGCTCAGCTTCCCCAGGAGCAAAAAGCCAAGATTGCAGAACAGGTGGCTAGTTTTCAGGAAGAAAAGAGCAAGCTGGATGCTGAGGTGTCCAAGTGGGATGACAGTGGCAATGATATCATCGTGCTGGCCAAGCAGATGTGCATGATCATGATGGAGATGACGGACTTCACCCGGTGAGCAGCCCCTCCCTGCAGGCCCCCTCACGCAGGCAGGTGCTGCTGCTCATCTCCACCTACGAGGGCTTTAGTTACAATCATCCTTGTTCCCTTTTTTCAGAGGTAAAGGACCACTGAAAAACACATCAGATGTGATCAGTGCCGCCAAGAAAATTGCTGAGGCAGGCTCCAGGATGGATAAGCTTGGCCGCACCATTGCAGACCATGTAAGTAACAGACTTGTCCCACAAGCCTCAAAGTTCATCCTGGACGTGGTGGTAACGGTGTTTTTTTTCATGAGCCACAGCACTTTTCCCATCTCAAACATTGTTCTTAACTTACCAACCTGCTTGATTAACATCAGCACAGAGTTTTAAGGATTTCTGAATACCTGTTTCTTTGACAAGTTTTGTCAGACAGACCCAGTTTGCATTACAGCACATCTCTGGAGCAGATGTGTATGTCCTAAAATCTTGCCTTGATTGACAGCTAAAACCAGCCTTTACTGTTAGGTCTTTGGATCTCTTGAGGATGTCAGCTCTGGGTAGGAGCTAATTCTGCAAGCCCCAATGATATACTGAAATTAAGTGTGTGAGAGACTCTTGTGGACATGTCTCATGTAGGAATCAGGAGCTCTTCTGTCTGGTGCTTTGGACGCATGATGTGCCCAAGTGGGGAAAGACATCTTATGTTCCCAACCATTCAGCCTTCATCCCTTTTCTCTACTGATGTGTTGAAAAAAGTGTAAACCTCCAGGAAAGTTTACAGGCCATTTTCAGCTATAGTTACAAAGCCTTCCCACTCCTTTCCCTCAAGTGTCCACATGCTTAGCCTGCATCAGGGCTGCAGGAGTGACAGCGGCCCCCCCCACTGCTCGAGCCAAAGACGTGGAAGCCCTCCTCAACGCCCCTCTTTCATGTATAATCTGGTACTCATCCCCAGTACATCTACTGGCCACACGAATGTGAGCACCATCTGGTCACTTCCTCTCAGCAGCCACCACTCAGTCTATCGTGCACAGCCCGTGCCCGCAAGACTATGGCCTCTCCTCACTGACTCCCTGCTCCGCCTTCCACACAGCTCCCAACACGGTCGTCTTACACAACCATTTTAAAATGCAAATGAGGGATGGCTCTGCCATGCTTCAGGAGCTGCTGAGAATAAAGAACCCCAGCCTCACAGAAGGGAGGTGTTTGCGTCAACACTTGAGAGGTGCCCTGCTTGCTTTGGTTGATTCACTTGTTCTCTCCATCTTTGCCTGAAATGACTCTCGTTTCATCAGGTGTTTACAGTGCTCACATCGGAGGTCTGGTCCCTCTGAGCAGACAGCCCTTCGCTGTAGCTCGTGGCACTGTCCCTTTTCGCCAGAGGCAGACTCTCGCTCTCACTTAGTGGCAGGGACCCGGCAGAGTCGCTAAGGGTGGTGACAGCCCGGGAACCTGGATAATCCTCTCTCGTCCTTGCTGCAGCACTGAGTGTGGAAGCTGGGGCACTGACTGAGTGTGTGAGAATAGCCCTAGGGGTTGGGTGTGTTTCAGAGTGCTTGGTGCTAAGTCTGCTCTCTCATCAGTGCCCAGACTCAGCCTGCAAGCAGGACCTGCTGGCCTACCTTCAGCGCATCGCCCTCTATTGCCACCAGCTCAACATCTGCAGCAAAGTCAAGGCCGAGGTGCAGAACCTTGGTGGGGAGCTGGTTGTCTCTGGGGTAAGTTTCGTCTGTCAGTGGGGAGGGCGTGCTGGGAGGGGACCCAGAGTTTCCTCGTGGAGGCTGAGGGCTGCATGTCAGCTCCTCTGTGCGCATTGCAGCTCCACTGAGCACAGTTGGTGACAGCTAGGAGCCCTGAATGTGCTGGCCTCTTCCCTTTTGCTTCTGTGGGAAAGAGTATTTTTATCCTCCTTTCTTTTCTTCCTCTGTAGAGAAAGTGAGCCTGTTCAGAAATTGCAGAGACATACAGCCTTTCTCAAACCCCCGCTACCCTCAATGAACCCCAGTATACTCTGTCCCCTTGTCTGTTTCCCAGGGCACAGCACAGTTCTGGACCTGTCACCCTAGGGGAACAAGGACACCTCCCTCCATGGAAGCTTCGTGGCTTCTGCTAAACCTCACACAATTTCCTTTCAAAGAACTTTGAATGTTGGACATACTTAGACCATTTGCTTACCTGTTCCAACATCAGTGCCCCTGTCTCTGGGGAGCGATTACCATCTTCTCTAAATATGAGGGGAGCCCCCTGGGTCATTACTGAAAGCATGGGGCTCTCTGTCCAGGAGGTTGACTTAAGCCCCCCACCCACCCCTGTGGCTGTTCACAGTGCTTGTTCTGCAGATCGTCCCCTACCTTGTTTGAGTGAAAACTGTTGAGGGGTGGGGCAGGTAAGGTAATGGTACCTTATGTTTTATTACTCCTCCCTTCAGAAGATCTGAAACACAGGCATTTTCAGGGTGTTTGGATGAGAGCACCTAGCCGTCGGGAGAGCTGATCAGGAACGAGGGCTGCTGCCAGGCCCGGGGGTAGTGGGGACTCCCTGTCAGGGACTGACAGGCCAGCTGGACCTTCCACCCCAGACCTTGGCCCATGCGCCTCACCTTCCGTCTGTGCCTCTCAGGTGGACAGCGCCATGTCCCTGATCCAAGCTGCAAAGAACTTGATGAATGCGGTGGTGCAGACAGTGAAGGCATCGTACGTGGCCTCCACCAAATACCAGAAGTCCCAGGGGATGGCGTCCCTCAACCTCCCTGCTGTGTCGTGGAAGATGAAGGCGCCTGAGAAAAAGCCCTTGGTGAAGAGAGAGAAACAGGATGAGACGCAGACCAAGATTAAAAGGGCATCTCAGAAGAAGCATGTGAACCCCGTGCAGGCCCTCAGTGAGTTCAAAGCTATGGACAGCATCTAAGGCTGCCCCCAGCCCTCCTAAAGATCCCTCACTGTTCTTTACTCTCGTGTATTTGCTAAATAGAAAACTGATGTTAGATTCCGTAGGGAAATAGATTCTTGAGACCTGGCCAACCTGGTGAATTTTGCAAGGATGTACTTGTGTTTAAGTCCTAGAATTCAGGAGCATATATCTAGCTATATTTTTTATACTCCTAAATAATTAAAAGTAAAAATTCCATAACCAAAGAGACTCCCACATTGAACATGTTAGTAACACTGTTGACCAAGTTGAGATGCCTGTCCTCCTAGTGGTGGCAGCAGTAGGTTTGGGAGAGGGTATCTGCCTGTAGCTTGGTTCAGGGAGGGGCTTCCCCCAGTTCTGGCAACTTGGCTGGTAGTAAATGACCAAAGACGACCCGAAGCAAGCATCCCGGGCGTCTTAGGAGGCCCTGGAGAAAGGAACATTCCCAGACAGGTCTTTAGAGGGACAGATCACACAAAACTAATTAAAACAATGTATCTCAAAGAAAATGGATTACTCTCTTTATAACATGAAACGAGGATTTTAACGCATGGTTACAATTACTAATGTACTCTGCTATGGGACATTAATAAAGTTGCTTTTTTCAGGCTAGAATGTTGTGATGTCATAATCAGAACATGGTTTTTTACCTTCCTTCAGCTTCAAATGCAAATTCATCATTGGGTTCACTTCTAATAATTGCAGTGCTTCCTGCCTTGGGCTTTGGAGAGAAGCCTGACAAAATAGTGTTTGCTTAGGCAGTAATTTAGACTCACCTTATTTGTGATTACTATAGTGATTACTATAACTACAAGGTATAATTTTACTTTATTTAAATTTTATGAATTTGAATGTTTTTTACACTAACTTTTCCCAATAAAGTCCTCTATGAAACCAAGTCTAAGGGCCCAGAGTCCTTTTCTTTGCCTTCCTGTAGAGTGGAGTTTTACATCAGACATCTCTGGGATTGGCCCCCAGCATCTGCCCTGCTCCAGCTTCCCACTGGCCCTCTTTCCTGGATGGTACTGCCCAGGGAGGGAGCAGAATGCACAGGGCTCAGGGCTGTACCTCCCTGTAGCTTCCAGGCCCACAACGGGAATTCACATGTCCACACTTCAGGGTGCAGGTCAGAACCTCAGAGGCATCCTTGATATCTCCCTGGATGTCACCCCTCCCCTTCTGAATCATCCCCACTGGTTTGCAACTGTACCATGATAATGGCTGCCTTACAAACCTCCTAAACCTGCTGTCCTTTCCCAGCCTACATCCCCGTTCCCTAAAGAGTGTGTCGTCCTTGTCTCCCCCCCTTCCTCACTTCCCGCCATTCCAGTCAGCTCTGCACTCCCATCATCTTCTCCTCACTGTCAGCGGCCCAGGTGCACAGGCCCTCCCTGCTCACAGCTCCTCCCTTGTCCTCCGAAGCACCTCACTCTGGTTTCCTGTCTTCCTCACGCGATGCTCCTCCTCTTCCTAGCTGTTCGAAGTTGTGCTGTCTGTCCCAGGGCTCAGTCCTCAGCCTCTTGTCTTTGATTCTGCTCACTCCTGATCTTACCCAGATTTCTGGCTTTAAATACCATCCAAATGCCAACTTTTCCTAGAACTAGACTTCTAAAACTGGCGATCTCCTATACTCTCCACTTGGATGTCTTTGTACATATTTCACACAGATTCTTCCCTTTGAAATGTATGCTGGGGCCAACTAATTCTCACCAGTTCTGTTCACCATTAGCTGGTCTAAGGCCTCATCACTGCATTAGCTTCTCTTAGCATATAACAAACTGCCCTAAAACTCAGCAGCTAAGACAACAAGCATCACTCACAGTTTCTGAAGATCAGGAATCCAGGAGCAGCCGAGTGGAAGGTTCTGACTCTTGCGTCTCTTTTGAGGCTGTGTCTCTGGAGGCTTGTGAGCCACTTGGAGGCTCCTTCACAGGGCGGGGGCGAGAGGCTGCGGTCCATGCCTGGTGGGCCTGCCTTCCCGTGGAACAGCTCATGCCATGGCAGCTGCCCCCTGCCCCCACCAGAGTGAAGGAACCAAGAGGATGGCAACCAGATGGAAGCTACCGCATGTTTTAAAAACCTGATCCTCAAAGCGATACATGATGCCGTCAGTTATGTTGGTGACACAAACCACCCCTGGTCCATGGTGGGAGGGGCAACACAGGGGCACAGGCCAGGAGGTGGCTCCCACGGTCGTCTGCATGTGGACCACTGCAGTGGCCTCCTTCCCCACGCCGCCCCCCTCAACCGCCTGGCGTCCCTGATCACCGTTTCCATGGCTCCTAGTAACCCCTCAGAGACGAGTTAGAGCATGTCATTCTCTTAGCTCAACCTTCCAGTGCCTTCCATGGCCTAAAAGCCAGAGTCCTATTGATGTCCCTGATCACCCTGTTTCCATGGCTCATAGTAACCCCTCAGAGACGAGTTAGAGCATGTCATTCTCTTAGCTCAACCTTCCAGTGCCTTCCATGGCCTAAAAGCCAGAGTCCTATTGATGAGCGTGGCCGCTTGTTGTCTCTGGCCTTTCCTCTCACCATCCTTTGCATCTGCCCTTTGCCACTTTTGGTTCTGCTCTCCCCAGAGACCCCCATTCCTTCTCAAGATCTCCTTCAGGTGTCTTGTCAAAAGTCTCTATCAGAAAGACCTCCCCTGGTATTTTGCCTCCCTGCTTCACAGGGATAGGAATCCACTCTTCAAGGCCCAGGACACAGTGAACAGGTACCCTGGGGACCCGGGGAATCCCTTGTGGGGCCAGGCCCACAGACACTGACCTCCCTTCACTCGGCCCCTCCTCCTGGATGACTCAGAATCCACGATGACACTTGGAACACTCATGGCTTTTGTTGCCATGACCTACAGCCCCGCACCCCAGCACCAGGCAGACTGTCTAGTCCACCTGTCTGCTCAGCCCATCCACTTCTCTGAGGCTGAGCCCACCCTGGTCTGGACAGCCCCCTCCCTCAGCCCCCAGCATCCATTATCCACTCTCCACCAAGTGGTAAAAGAAGCTTCCAAAAACATTTTCTAAAGAGTCAGTCCTCTGCACACAGCCCTCAAGAGATCCCATGCCTGCCCTGGGAGTATCTGGACAGGCCATGCCCTCTCTGCACCCACATTGCCCACTGGAGGCAATTCCTGGGATGCCCACACGCTGCCCCCCATGAGCCCATCACTTGCATGTTTCAGGCATCACCTTCGCCATCCCAACATTAATAGCACACACTTTACCAAAAAGATGAAGGTTCTACTGAGCTTCACCTCCTCCTCAAGCAAAAGCTATGAAATGTTTGATATACTACAGTTTTTCTAATACACATTAAAATTAACTTTAGTAAAGTGTTCATTGCTGTAGCACCTACAATCTCCCCTTGGACCATGACAGGCAAGCGTGGCCCACGACCACCCCCTTCTCACCAGGCCTTGGCCGTTGCCCCCAGCACGTGGCGTCACAGTGCCAGCCCACATAGGGCCATCTGGCATTCCTTGGGGAAAAGGCAGTGGTCTCGGTGAACCCATAACCTCGCAAAGGCCCTGGTACATGCTTGAGAAATAGTTGTTTAACTGTTCGAATGATTCACTGCTTATTTAAACCAGTCAATCAGAAGATACTGGGAGGCAGAAAGCAGGTCACAGAGGTGGCATCAGAGATCTTGCCCAGCAATCCTGAGTCCTCCACCTTCCTCAGACTATGGGCTGAGCTCAGGGGAGACTAGCCTCACCTTGTCTGTGTGGGGATTGCTCCTGCCCCTTGGCCACCACTAAGAGGACTGTCTCCCCTCCCCTCACATCCTGAGGCTTCTTGCTTCTTGGCCAGGGCAGCCACAATCCTCAGTGTCACCTCCCTGTGCAACACCTCCTCAGGCTAGCTCCTCCCCTTGGCGCCTCAACCTGGCATTCTGGGCCCAGCTGCCCCGCACCCCTGCTCTGGCCACGACCTCACGCGTGGTGGGCAGAGCCCTGCTGCCCTCCCCTCTGCCCTGCTAACCACAGGGCAGTGCCTCCCACAACCCCTGGGCAGACACTACAAAGGAGCCCCCTCACCTCTGCAGCCTTAATCCTCACAGCTTCCCCTCTCCACCCAGGCAAGGATCACCCCCCCACTGAAGGAAGAGGAGGAGCTGCCGCATGCTGGGCACACCCAGGGCCCGTGTAGGCCTTCACCCACATCCCCCTGTTGGTTGTTTACTGCCCGTGACGTGTCACTATTACTGCCCCTCAAACTCTCCAGGAGTGGGGACCGATTCCCTCACCGAAGTCACACAGCTCACGAGTCACCCAGCCCCTCCTCCCAGCTGCCAAGACAGTCCCTCTAAGGCCCCCAGGTTCTGACCAGCCCTCAGGAGCCCCAGAGAAGCCCTCAGGCTCCTGCAGCACCTGCCCCGTTCCCACAGAGGCCCTCAGGACTGCATGTCAGCCTGCGGGGATTCTCCGGGCTCCTGGGTGAGGCCACCCCATGACTAATCACTGGATCCCAGTCCAAAATCATTTTAGCCCTCAATTCTTACCCCCCATTTCCTGCCTGACCAAATTTGCCTTCCCCCAGTGGTTCTCATCAGCACACAAAAACATGTTGTCATAGACCCCAGAGTTGAAAGAGACAAAAAGCTTTCCTGGGTCCGTGTCTCCCTCCCCGAGACAGAGCTCCTCAGGGGAACGTTGGGACTGTCTCCAGTGCCCACCATCACTCTCCCCGCTCGGTCCAGCCCTCCTCTCAGCCCCACGTGCTGCTGGCGGCCACGCTCTCCCTCCTTGTCACGCTTTCTCCAGATTTCCACCATCACATCCTCACTCACCTTGCTCGAATCTCAACTCCGTAACATGCTCCCCGTCTTGGTCTCTAACACTCAGCTGGTCCAGAACCACTGACCGTGGTTCTCTTCTGCTTGATGTATAATGTGCAACAACCAGGTTTTCAGGGTGGGATGGGGAGAGGTTGCATATATATCCATATATTTTGTCACACGTTTTACTCCTATAAAGAAATTACAGTACAATGA